GTGTGTGTGTGTGTGTGTGTGTGTGTGTGTGTGTGTGTGCGCGCGTGTGTGCATGAGTGTGTGCGTGCATGCGTGCGTGTGTGTGTGAAGGTGTGTTTGTTGGATGGATCACATTAGAAAAGTACTGGTTAGCCATTATCCAATTCCAGGTATAAAATTTCTTTAAGGAATGACTTTTTTAAGCATATATTAAGAATTTAAAATAATAATAGTAAAATTAATTATAAGTTCCTCCATTACAGCCACGACTGGACCTTTCAAATGAGATCATGTTGGCCATTATTCCACTGTCAGTGGTAGATGCTGTCATCTGCTGGTGGGTGTTCAGCAGTTTAGTGCAGACAACACGAACACTGCGTCTGCGCAGAAACGTTGTGAAACTGTCTCTTTACAGGCACTTCACTAACACCCTGGTGTTCGCTGTGCTAGGTATGGTTATATATATATCAAGAGCGTATAAAGAAGGAGAGCGTACAACGGTAAAATGTTGAAACCATGTTGCAGTATTAGTCGAATTAATAAACTTAAAAAATCGATTCTTTGCAGTATTATTGATCAGCGATCCTACCTTGTTCATATAAAACAAACCGCATGTCCCTACGATGCCCATACGCTGAGATAATGAGCGGTGAAAATCTGGTATTTTCGCTGAACACCGACTAGACATTAGTCAGTACTGCAACCCTCTCTCGAAGTGTTATAACTTTGGTAAATCTCGCGTGTTTCCGTCAATGATTGACAAATGGAATGAATGACGTCTGTTATTGATTGCCATAGTGATGACCCCCACCTGTGCCCACCTCACGCCCACCTCACGCTGGATGTATAGTAAACTCTGGTAGTATTACGTGAGTCAGCGCCACTATGGCGCTACACAGCGGCGACCGGAAACAACACACTGGAAGCACTTCGAGAGAGGGTTGCAGTACTGACTAATGTCTAGTCGGTGTTCGGCGAAAATACCAGATTTTCACCGCTCATTATCTCAGCGTATGGGCATCGTAGGGACATGCGGTTTGTTTTATATGAACGAGGTAGGACAGCTGATCAATAGTACTGCAAAGAATTAATACGACAATTCGACTAATACTGCCAAATGGTTTCAGCATTTTACCGTTGTACGCTCTTGTATATATATATATATGTGTGTATGTGTGTGTTTGTGTCATGTCAGCTCTAGAATAACCCATTGACCTAACACGCTTTAGTACTTATACCCAGACACCTGTTAATTTTTTTTAAATTGTAAAATTGTAAAAAGTTTTATTGTTGAATTCACTGCAAAATCATTTCTCAAATCATTTTTGTCGTTATTTTTTTCTATGTATGCAGCCTCAATTGCCTTCATGATATGGTCTATCAAAGTTCATCAACTTAGTGACTGCCTGTCTGTAAGTATTTAGATTAAGTGACCCATACTCCAGTCTTAAATTTGGCTGAATCGTGTAACTGTAATTATAAGGGCGTACTTAAAATACGAGTTCCACACAAGTAAAATATGAGACATGTTAACTGTTTTTACAACACAAGAGTGTATTAGTGCTGAGTCACATAACTGCTTGCTATTGTGACCTGTCACTTGCACTGTTTGGCTTATATGCAACTGGCACAAGTTTTCATCCATGTGAAATAATTTGTGCTGCATGTAAACACATATCACCTATGTTGTAGGATTGGAAGGAGCTCTGGATAGATGATGCTTTTTGGCCTCTGCTCTTTACCATCATTCTTTTAGTGATCATGATTCTGTGGACACCTACAGCAAACAACCAACGGTAAGTGCATCATGGTTTGTCTGTATGTTTAACCACTAGCGACTGATTGGCAGGTTAAACTGTATGTTTGTTTGTATAACATGTATAAGGGAGTATGATTGTTATGTTCTAGTACATGCAGTAATTATTCAATAATAATAATAATAATAATTGGTCCTCAATAATTATCACCAGTGGCAGCTGCGCACATAACTCAGCAGTGGAAGCATTTCTAGCAGCCTAAGTGATAACGGCTGGCAGCCACACTTATTGTTGGCGATCATACTTAGAAATAATTGTTTTAAAGATCTTTTAAACCTTGTGTAGCATTCATAAAATAACAATGTCTCAATCAAACTTACTTTCGTTAATAGATTTTTGCACAATGATATGAATTTTGGCTCATTTTACATACTATCATGCATCACTAACAGCGCTTAGATATATTAATTAGCAATCACTCTGGTGTAGCTATATAAATATCAGGAGTGTCATAATATAGACATAGATTCCATATTATGACACTCCTGTAAATATTCCTTCACACATAAGTGTGGAAAGCTCTTCCCGATACAAAGTTTGGAACTCGGGGCAACCTTTGCATTGAGTTCATGATCAAAATATTTTGTACACAAAACGCTTGCATAGTAAACTAACGTGATTAGTTAGATTGATGAATTTTTGTGGGTAAGCAGCTGTCAGATGACGCAGTATCTGTAAAGCGCTATAAATATCAATTACCAACACAGCGTTCTTGTTTTAAATGCCACGGATGCATTTTGAGCTTCATTTCTGTGCATTGTATTTAAAAATATACACCTGTGTTTTTTTCTGCCTTCTGGTAAAGGTATGCATTTTCGCCACTGTTGGACAATCCAGATGATGAGTCTGAAGAACCGATGCTGAATGATGCTTTTGATGGGATGAAGATGAGAGGAGTTGACAAGAGTCCCAATGGCAGCACTAGCACCAACACTTCCTCTCGCAAGCACGGAGATCGTGTCAGGAGTGATAAGTTTGTATGTGTTACCACTGGTTGTTTGTGTGTTAAAGAAAGAATATGTTTATCTAATCTGCCCCATTGACAAATGCTAGAATAACTGACACCTCTTGTCGTTTATAAGTAATCTTATTGCCAAATTCATGTTAGTTTGTCGAACTTCAATGCTGGATATTAATCAAAAGCTCAATTAAAAATTGCCCACATATAGTTGTTGACAATTTCAAATGGCAACTGCCTAACTGGTTGTAACAGAGGTTTCTGCATCACATATTTTTAGACATATATGATCTACCAGATGTATACTCGTCCTGTCACTGACGTTAGAATGTATATCGAATACACATTTCTTTGCTAAACTCTTGCATGTAATCTCTGACCAAATTTTTAATTGAGCTGTTGATAAAGAACATTATATTGTCTGGTTTATAAGGTAATGTGCTGAAATCAAGGATACTAATAAGGACTTGATTGTAAAGTTACACACACACAAACAAGGTGCCAGTTATTCTAGCCCTCGTCATATAGCTGTTAGATAGCCATAGTCTTCTTGGGTAAAAAATATTGGTAATAGTAAAGGTAAACAATATTATACGTTTGATGCATTATTTCAGTAAAGTTTGTGATTTAGTATATAGTATATAGTATATTCAGTATATGAGCAGATTTGTGTCATATGTGTAGGTGTGTTTTGCGGCAGCATGAACAATAACCACATTCTCTGTATAATTGTAGGAAGATGATCTTAAATGGGTTGATGAAAACATTCCATCATCGGTAGCAGATGCGTGAGTATCAGTAAGATATGTGTGAATGAACTAGGGAGTTACTTTTACTATTAAACGTACTGGTATATGAACAGATGTACAGAAAATCTTCTCATAAAAATTAGTGGTACATGTGACATGTGACATGTGGCACTAATCATCATCTTGTATACATACTATTTACAATTTCAGAGCTCTTCCTACGTTCCTAGACTCTGATGAGGTAGGTTGCACTCACTATTTGATTTTTCCCTGTTTTATCGTATACATCTGAAATACTAGTCTGCCACATCATATTCCCATGTAACTACACTGATATGCCCACATCTCTAAGCAGCTTCTCTGATATACACCCACTTTCCATATAACTACACTACTGGACAGGCAGAGAATCTTCTGTTGACTGCAGATTTAAGTAATTTTGGTTTTCCAAATGAACTCTTCTTGAGATCAATACAAATCCATTGTGAAGCTTGTGGGGTGTGTATCTAGCGTGAGCAGGGTTTCTGAAATGAACGCAAATATCCTTTTTTATTTTTTGGCCAATATTTGCATTAACGAAAAGGAGCCTGTGCCCAATTGCCTCCATGAAAATTGCAATTGCGCTAGAAAATGTGTGTACATTGTATGTATGCATTACTGTTTTCACCCATGCTGTGTAGTTAAAGAGACTGAGTGCACAGTGCTCACTTAATGTGCGGTTAGAACCCCAAAGTGCACAACTTAACAACTGCACATCTTAGGTGAGCGAGATATGGAGCCTGTTGTGGAGATGTCAGTTTGTCTGCCAAGAACAGTGAACACGTTAATTTCTCTATTCAAAATTTCTTATGCGATATCCGTTGAAATTGAGCTGAGTGTGTATACATATCAGATCAGAAGTTAAATTAAGAATGTGTTCACTCTATTAAATTCCCATCAACTGTTGAATAGGGTGTGCTGTTTACTACATACCAGGCCCAACTTATCATTTCATGATAATATAAAAGTAAACAAGAAGCAACTGTATATAAGCAACAATTAATTGGAGCACCCGATCTCGCTATTCTTTTCAAGCTAAATGAAGTTGATTGTGCTTGTCATGTCATCGGAGTAGGTGACAAGCATCAGAAATGCGCAGGTGTTAAAGCTAGACATTTCTTTTCATTTCTGGCCATACTAGGCAAAAAATGTTTCCATAATCAGCTGGGGTTCTGCGAGAAATTACGGTGACTCCCACAGAATTGACATTCTAAGTCAAAACATGGGTTTAAATGTCTTTTACTAAAAAATACTTCTTGTAAGCATTTTAGGCTGTGACAGAAATGCACATGGAAAGCATGAGAGAACCATTTACTGTATATATACCACCCAAGTGATTAGAGCAAAAGGTCTAGTCTTGGAAAATAACTGTAAATCCTATACACCCTGTTATATTTAAGAGATAAGAACACAAAAAACCTCTGTACATGCCATACCCCAAAAATCTCATTATTGCACCTTTCCCTGTGCTGATTGGCTGAATTGGGGTGTGAACGGCCTCTCACAATATGGGAATAAGTTATATATAGTATTGACGGTGTGTGTTTTTTTGTCAAATCGGTGGTGCCCTACTAGAATGTCCATTTCTTTCTTGGGTTAAACCCCACCTTCTCGCATTCATACTCCGACATGTTTTTTGAGAATGTGTGCCATGCAAAGTGTGTATATCACTATATTTATTTTGCAGGAAATAATGACCACAAAGTTTGAGATGTCAAAGATGGAATGAATAATATCAACAGCAAAAAGATCTACATATTCAGTGGCAGGTACAAACATGAAAGGCTGGATTGAGAAACGATATGGGTTTAGTATTCAGCTGTTGCTGTAGGTGTTTTTAGAGTTTGTTTGGAAAGTAAGTTTCCGTACACCTTACCCAACAGGAAGTGTTTCATTATATATTGACTAAGAAAAGTATTCTTACGTTAGCAAGACAAGGATAGTGTGAACATATTTATTGTGTAAACTAGACTGTCAAGAGGTTCTGATGTAATGAAGTTATTGCATTGTTTATATGTTAATTGTGGGTTATAGGGTCTTTTCATGTGGGCCTGTCAGTGATACATTTCCCTTCTGTTGTCAAAAATATTTGCATTATTGTTCATGATTTGTATTTGAAATGTCGTATTTTGAAGGTAGGCTCCCCCACTTTGCATTTCAAAAGTGTATGATATAAGTACCTTAATGCATAGTATATTAATATGTAGTTTAACACCACAGTTAGGGTATATCATGAGCCATATTTAACAAAATGTCATCATTCTATTATGTATGCTTATTGTATGAGGGTGCATTCTGACTCGTGTAGTGACTATAGTTAATTTTGATGTAGGGGGAGACCACCTTTAAGTTTTAAAGGGAAACGTTATTGTAAGTTTAACACGTGTTCACTTATAATAATAATACGCCTAGAGAGGCCGATTCCGAGAGTCACTTACAGGACTGCTCTAAAAACAGGCCGATTGTTTAGATTGTGGTAAAAGCATGGGATGTAGCACACGTGTACGTTGAGAGGTGCTTAATAAAATTAGAGGCAGTCCCCAGTAGAACTGATCTATTAAAGGCGGGTGCCACCTTGCAGTTTTGAAATGCCAAACTTCATTGCTTTTCTTCTGAGTAACCCTCTGAGTAATTAAAGGCTCTAGCATGCTTTTGTGACATGGAGAATCGATTAAGATCAAATTTAGTCTGATTATATAATTACTTCATTAACATATTTACAAAATGGCCACCACAGAACTGTGAAACACATTCTTTAGTCATATATTTACTTCTAATTACGATTTTTTAATGTATTTTCATGACCTATCTTAGTTAGTAGAAAAGGAATCGATTAGGATGAAATTTAATGTGATTAGATAATTAGCTCATACACATATGTACAAAATGGCCACTGTAGAAACTAAATTAATCGTTCTGGGCATATATGTCATTTTCTACGTTTGTAATACTTGGTTCTCTACTGCTATCACTGCATTTCTGAATGAATGTAAATTCTGTACTATTGTTTTACAAGGATTTGATACCTGTTTATACGAGGAATCTATTTGGGTAAAATATGATGTGATTATATATATAAAGTTTAATTGGGAAATGCCGAATTAATTAACTCACCTAAATGCAGCTGGAGATGTTAATTCGTCATTAAACGAAGTCGGGAAGAAGTCGTACAGCACAGCACCCTGATTAACAGTATCTGTACTAGACAGAGGGCACTCACGGAGAGTGCATACCTCCGCCAGAATGTAACATGTATGTTTATAACAGCTGGCTCGCTGCTGGCTGCTGCTGACTGGACGCCCTAAGGCAAGCTGCTGCTGACTCGACGCCCTAAGGCGAGCTGCTGCTGAATTGATCACTAGTGTCTACACACACACACGAACACACACACGAGACCGAATACATTACCTCCTTGGCGGAGGTAACAAGGATAGTAGTAGTAACTAGCAGTTGTGTGGGACTAATCAGTGACCCTTCGACCAGCTAGTCCTTTCTTCGAGTAAGTGCAATATTTATCATTCAGGTAATGATCGAACACCAACTTGCCAGATGTCCGGCAACGACAGCTAAATCAACTGGACCACAATCAGACACTATTTTGCCTTGTTGGTAGTTTGTAGACATGCATCGACATGCAAGATCTGCTTTTGTCCAGTGTCACAGAATTCATATATCTGACAGTGATGGGATAGGCATGGTATTTATGTTCGTAGAACTTGGTAATATTTTCGCTGCCCAACTTGTACTAAATGTACAATCAAGACAGATACAGATAAAAACGCACAGCTCGTCTTCGGGGAAGCTGCCTGATGTGCTGTCTCATATGCTCTTTTTACCTGCTTTGTGGTCGTAAACAGTGCAAGATCGTTTTAGGTTTAATGTGTTTGTAGGTGGTCGCTCCTACCAGATACGTACGTCACTCCTGCACAGATGGGTTGTATTACGTTTGCCTAATTGACTCCTAATTACCACTTGCCCTATGCAAATTCTAAAATACAGAGCTTTCCATCAACGAATAGGTTGATGTGTAGAATTCCAATCATTTCGCACACACTTTATACTTTCCACACTGCTTGTCAGTGTGTTCACTGAACTTATATTGCAATGCCTTGCAATCTCATTATCTGAAATTATCCACATGAGAATAGCAAATCGATTTTCAGTTAGTCTCCAGCACCTTTGCTATTCGTGATTTTGAGTTATGGCCGTCAAGGAGCTGTGTGCTGTCTTTTCCACTATGAAGTGACCTTTGGCGAATTAGCGCTAAGCATTTGGAAGTGTATTTTTCAGCTGATTCGTGTCTCTCCTTTGGTTCAGCGCCCACGTTAAGTAGTGTGTACGATTTAGGAGAAAGAATCACGAAGTCAGCATTCATCAATATAATACCATCAAGTAAAGTTCGAAGTTCGCTTCTTTTTGCTACATTTTCAAGCCTAGAAGCGTAATGTAAAGACCTCTACTGTCTCTGTATTTCTCCACACGTAAAAAATACTGGTTTTGTGCACATTCCCATTTCTAATACTGATCCTTGTCTTCACTGGACTACTCTTATTGGTTTGTTCTGTTGACTCTCGTATTTAATTATTTTCATTAAAATTCACAGTTATATCAAAGTCATCATGTCTCAAATCAATAGTTGAGAAATTAATGATTTTTATATAATATAGTAGTATATCTACACAGTATACTTAATTCCATTAACTTACATTTTGAATTTCTGATGAACAGTTAACCTTGCTTGTTTTAATTTTGAATTTTCTATGGTTATCATTTTGTGGATATGCAAATAGAGTAATTGTACAATCACATTAGATTTTATAGTAGATTCCTCATGATCCGAAACCACGGTAGAGCTTTCAGAATCACTCGGAAGTGTTACTTTGAAGTGGAGATATGCTCAAAAATGTAATTCAGGTTTGTGGTAGCCAGTGAATATCTGAATTAGGAAATTTTTCAATCGTCTTAAATTTCACTCTAATCAATTCATCATGCCCACAAACTATTACAAGATATGTCAAATCACTAAAAATGAGCACGTGCACAATCTTGTGATTTTATTGCTGTGCTAAGGAGCTCGACTCCTTACGTTTAAATTACGCTATATAAAATTAAATGTGATTACAAGTGCATTACATGAATAAAGTTACAAATAAATTTGTGGTTTCATATCCACTTCAACTATTTTTTTAATGTTTTAAAACTGTCTATGATCGTTTCCTAACAATGTCAGTGACACCCATACATGTGTCTACTAAGGAAGTTACGCAAATGCGTTGTGGTAATAAAGGTGAATGTATTACAAGAAATATGTAGGCATGTACAATTTTATCATGTAGTACGGTATTATATTATCAGGAACTATTTATTTTATTTGTTTAGGTAATTGTCCATATATACATACTGTTACAATAAATTATAAATTCAAGAATTTAGATAACTACCAATGATATATATACAAAAAGTATAACAAGCACAATTATTTACATTGTCGTCCTTGCTACATTACTCTTGATGATAACACTAACAGCCGCACATTATTTTTTATGTGAAATCAATGGCCTATGCGACGTCACCGTGCATGGTTACTAAGCAGCAGCTGCACACACCAATTCAAATTAAAATTCAAATAAATTTTATTGCTCAATTATCTCGCAGATACACTGGCAAAACGATCATTTCCTGATTAATGTATACTGTTTTATCCGCCCGCATTCAGCCGGTTGTTGAATAAATGCTAGGCCAAGCCTGGCGAGTGGATTTTACATCTGTGTTATTGTTTGCTATCTCATATACTCCGACTAATCCAGTGATCGAACCCGAGCGTAAGCTCATGGGTAAGAAATATCGTTTCGCATAAATACGGCGAACGCTACACATATATATTATTGATATTATATATTATATATATGTGCGTGTGTGTGTGTGTGTGTGTGTGTGTGTGTGTGTGTGTGTGTGTGTGTGTGTGTGTGTGGTGTGTGTGTGTGTGGTGCGTGTGCGTGCGTGCGTGTGTGCGTGCGTGTGCTGCTTGCGTGCGCGTGCGCGGCGTGCGTGTGCGTCGGTGTGTGGCATGCGTGCTCTGTGTGTGTGTGTGTGTGTGTGTGTGTGTGTGTGCGCGCGCGCGTGTGCCGTGTGTGCGCGAACGCGTGTGGTGTGCGTGTGCGCGCGAACGCGTATGGTGTGCGTGTGCGCGCGAACGCGTGTGCGTGTGCGCGCGAACGCGTGTGGTGTGCGTGTGTGTGCATGTGCCTCGGCGTGCGTGGGCGTCTGCTTCTGCATGTGTTTGCGTGTGGCTGCGTGCGTCTGTGTGTACATGGGTGCCTCTGTGTGTGCGTGCGTGTGTGTGCGTGCGTTTGTGTGTGCGTATGCGTGTGCGTGCGTTTATGTGTGAGTGCGTCTGTATGTGCGTGCGTCTGTGTGTGCGTGTGCGTGCGTGCGTCTCTGTGTGTGTGTGCGTGCGTGTGCATGCGTACACGTCTGTGTCTGCGTGCGTCTGCGTACGTCTGCGCCTGTGTGTACGTGCGTCTGCGCCTGCGTGCGCGTGCGTCTGCGTATGTCTGTGTGTGCGTGCCTCTAAGTGTGCGTGCGTGTGCGTGCGTGCGTCTGTGTGTGCTTGTGTGTGTGTGTGTGTGTGTGTGTGTGTGTGTGTGCGTGTGCGTGCGTCTGCGTAGTTCTGCGTGCGTCTGTGTGTGTGCGTGTTTGTGTGTGTGTGTGTGTGTGTGTGTGTGTGTGTGTGTGTGTGTGTGTGCGTGTTTGTGTGTGTGTGTGTGTGTGTGTGTGTGTGCGCGCGCGTGCGTGCGTGTGCGTGGGTGCGTGCGCGTGCGTGCGCGTGCGTCGGTGTGTGCATGGGCGTGCGCCATGTGTGTGGTGTGTGTGATGTCTGGTGTGCGCGCGCCCGGGTGTGCGGTCGTGTGCGGCGCGGGCGCGTGTGCGTGTGCGCGGCGAAACGCGTGTGGTCTGCGTGTGCGGGCGGAACTGGCGTGTGGTGTGCAGTGGTGTGGTGCATTGTGGGCGCTCGGCGTGCGTGGGCGTCTGCTTACTGGCATTGTGTTTGCGCGTGTGGGATGGCGTGCGGGTCTGATGTGTAGCAGGGCATCTGTGTGTGCGTGCGTGTGTCGTGTGGCGTGGCGTTTGTGTGTGGGGCGAGTTGCGGTGGGCGTTTATGCTTGTGAGTGCGTCTGTTAATGTGGCGTGCGAGCTGTGTTGGGCGTGTACGTGCGTGCGTCTCTGTGTGTGTGTGGCGTGGCGTGTGCATGCGTCCAGCGGGTGGGTCGTGTCTGGGCGTGCGTCTGGGCGTAACGTCTGGTCGCCTGTGTGTTAGTGCGTTCTGCGCCTGGCGTGCGCGTGCGTCCTGGCTGTGATGTCTGTGTGTGGGCGTGCCTCTACGTGTGGCGTGCGTGTGCGTGCGGTGGCGTCTGTGTGTGGCCTTGTGTGTGTGTGTGTGTGTGTGTGTGTGGTGTGTGCGTGTCGCGTGCGTCTGGCGTAGTTCTGCGTGGGCGTCCTGCTATGTGTGGCGTGTTTGCGTGTGTGTGTGTGTGTGTGTGTGTGTGTGTGTGTGTGTATGTGTGTGCATGTGAGCGCGTGTGCATGTGCGTGTGCGTGTGCGCGCGAACGCGTGTGTCTGTGTGTGCGTGCGTGTGTGTGCGTGCGCGCGCGTTCGTGTGAGTGCGCGTGCGTGCGTCTGCGTGCGTTTATGTGTGCGTGCGTGCGTCTGCATGCGTGCGTGCGTGTGCGTGCGTGTGCGTGCGCGCGTCTGTGTGTGCGTGCGTTTATGTGTGCGTGTGTCTGTGTGTGCATGCGTCTGTGTGTGCGTACGTCTGTGTGTGCGTGTGTGTGCGTGTGTCTGTGTGTGTGCGCGTGCGAACTGCGCAAAATGGTGGATGACTTAATATTATAATGGTACCTCCGCTTCCCTTTCCACACCCTACGCTCCCCCACCTCTCAGCTATTCAATCGTTGTTTTGAGCGCCACGCAAGAACGCGACATTTTTGTTCGTTGTTCTCTGTTTCCAAGCTATGTAACTGTTCAGTGGCAGATCCAGGATTCCAAGGAGGGGGTGAAAACAGGCGGGGGTATGGGGGCCCTCCTCCAGAAAATTTTGAAAATTTAGATAGCAGGAGATGGTATTTGAGGCACTTTTGAGTACATGTACTCCCTTCATTCTGACTACGACAATTCTCTTTTTAGTAGAACAATTCTTGCACTTGCAGCGCGGCATTGCTTTCTGTACCGGGGGGGGGGGACCACCGCTGGGATGGGGGCGACAGCAAAATTCTTTCTTGGAATTGTGAAAAAAGCAGAACGCATTTCCGTCAAATTATTCTTTAGAGAAGAAACGGCATCAAGAGCTGTTATCAGATCCAGTTCCTCTGACTGCAAGTAGTTGCTAACAATTTTACACCTACTTAGGATTGGACGCAGCGCTTCCATGTTGAGGACGAAGTTAAACGTTGACAGATTTTTCCGCAGCCCTTGTGCATATGCTACTACTTAGGACGGGTAGCTTTCCTGGCTATTTCCTCTAGGGCCTCAAGGAACGCCTTCAGATTGACAGAAATCGATGTCCATCTGGTTTCTGACAAGCTTTTTCGGGTCTTGATTCGCTGATCTGTCATCAGCCTTTTCATGATAGATTCCAGAATGCAATGGCGATGAGAGCTTGACTCAATAAAGGTGTAGACATTTTGTATATATTTGTATATATTGACAATTTGTATCCTGCATATAAGCTGGGAAGACCATCGAACAAATATCAGCATTCTTGATGAGGCTCGCTGTACAACTATTGAAGCACTGATCATAAAGAGTCAACTACGCTGGTCTGGTCATGTAGTGAGTATGCCTGACTTCCGTCTACCAAAGCGAGCCCTCTTTGGCGAACTCAAGGAAGGGAAGCGAACAAGAGATGGACGAAGGAAACGGTTTAAGGACAATATAAAAGCTAGCTTGAATAAATGTGACATTAATACCAATGACTGGCAAAGGCTAGCTTGTCTGAGACCCACCTGGAGGGGCGTTGTTTACGACGGTGTCTATTTTGAGACGGTCAGGCGCCAAGAAGTCGAAAGGAAACGGATCTTACGCAAAGAGCGTGCAAGGTCCCGGGAAGAGGGAAAAATTCCACCTCTACCCCCTGGAAACAGCTGTCAATTGTGTGGCAAGATGTGTGGGTCGCGTACAGGGTTTATAAGTCATCTGAGAATGCACAGAGAATAATTTTACAACTTTTAGACAATCATACTCGCTTGCGAGTGATTCCGTAGATAGATAGACATTTTGTACGGTCCCCGAGAAGTTGCGTGTGCTAATTATCTCAGCCATGGCATCTGCTACAACGAGATTTAGGCTATTATAATACACGCACGTACAAGACTTACGTTGCATGGTACTGCGTACTGTCTCCTCTATCTCGTGCACTGTACTGTTGCCTAATACCACATGTAATATGTTTTAGGACCGCGCGCGTTTGTATGTGGCCGTAGTAGCACGTTAGATAGACTACAGGAATATAGGCTAATGCCGCAGACTTTACCGTTTCATATCCAGGCCGCGTTCTGTGCCGTAAATAAAAATAACGCTTCCAGGCCATTGGGGGTAGGGGTCGTGTGTGCTGTTGATCTGTCAACCAACCTCCTTCCCATTTTTTCTTTGTTTTATAATTTTTTTGTTACTTTCGGATGTGCCATGGTCACCTTTGCCCCCCCCCCAACTACGCCACTGCGTGTGCGTTTGCGTGTGCGCGCGAACGCGTGTGTCTGTGTGTGCGTGTGCGTGCGCTTGCGAGCGCTTGCGCACGTGTGCGTGCGTGCGTGAGTGTGCGTGTGCGTCCGTGCGTGTGCGTCTGTGTGTGCGTGCGTCTGCGTACGTCTGTGTGTGCGTGCCTTTATGTGTGCGTGCGTGTGCGTGCGTGCGTGTTCGTGCGTGTGCGTGCGCGTGTGTGTGCGTGCGTCTGTGTGTGTGTGTGTGTGTGTGTGTGTGTGTGTGCGCGCGTGTGCGCGCGCGCGCGTGTGCGTGTGCGTGCGAACGCGTGTGTCTGTGTGTCCGTGTGTGCGTGTGCGCGCGTGCGTATACATGCGTCTGTGCGTGCGTCTGTGCGTGCGTGCGCGTGCGTGTGCGTGTGCGTGCGTCTGCGTGAGCGTGCGTTTATGTGTGCGTGCGTGCTTCTGTATGTGCGTGCGTGCGCGTGCGTGTGCGTGCGTCTGTGTGTGTGTGCGTTTATGTGTGCGTGAGTCTGTGGCAGCAGCCACCCCCCCTAAATTTTAGAGCACAATTAAAATAAGCTTAACTAATAATCGTAAATAACCCTAACGTTATTTTTTGGTCACTTATCCGTGAAAGCCTTGTCTCAGACACACACTATGGACGTACGTCGATCAAGAGCTGCGCCCGACGCTCGATCATCATTACACAGTTGAGTCATTAAATTTTGCCCCCCTCACTAGGAATTTGTTCAGCCGACGGTCCTGGTGTGTCTAGATAACTCGCGTAAAAGTATTGCTTTGAAATGTGATGATGCACCTATTTACAACGTAATAGTATTGAAAAATAGCGAAGACCATTGTTTTCTCTGCCTCTCTTCCTGTCACGTAGCCCCTATGCACTTTTATACGTGTATCAGGCTTGATGTTATTAAAGTTCATAATACCTAAAAAAATACGTTTAAAAAATGTCCATTAATATAGCTTATTTCGTTATCAATACTAGACCAACATTTACTGGATAATTGAATAATTGTGTAGAAAAATTATGTTATTTTCCATAATTCCTTAATCCGATTCCAACCATGCACCTTTGTTTTAAAATACAAGGAAAATACAAGAAATATTAACAGGCTTAAAAAAGATGCTGTTCCGTCTCTGATAGTAGTCAGTAACCCTCCCCCAAAAGTGACACCCCCACCAGTAAGAATTTTCACAGCGCTACAGCGATGCCATATTGCTAAAAGTCGTGCACTGTCGGAGTGCGAAAAGATACGAATAGGGTGAAGAAGGTATGCAAACTGCATGCGCATTGAACCCCCTTCGTACACTCGGGATGCTTGAATTGATTGAATGATTGAATTGATTGAACTCGGGTGAATTGAGTGAGAGTAAGAGCGTCATCTGTCGTGGAGTTTGGAAGGTATGCTGCACTAGTGTGTTGAAAGTATTGTTGAAATTTTCTTGTTTTTCTTACTCTCGCGTATCCGGTATGCCATATTTAGTTACTAAAGAACTAAATCTAAACCATTACTCTTCAAAAAAATGCAAGTATTTAAATTAGAGTAAAAGACGTGGAGATTATATATGCTTTGTTCTTTTTGTTTATAGGAAAAGAGAAATATCTGCCAATAAACAGTGTTGCTGCATGGTTATAGTTTTTATGTGTAAAAATTAATTCTATCTAAGCGTTTAACGGAAGCAAGGTTAACATAAAGACTGATATTTTCCTTTTAAAAATTGTATATCGCCTTATAAAACATCATTCGGAATATCAGAAGATGTTTTAACGTAAAAAATACACTATCAGTTTGCCACTGTAGCAAGCGTTATACTACCTACGGCTTCATTCGCTGGGCGGCGCCACCATGCATACATTACTGTATTTTGGCGCTAGTCTCAGAGTATTTTGCTGTAGTTTGGCGAGATCTCGATTAATCGAATCGAATCGAAAATCGAATCGCATCGCATCGCGAATCGAAATCAGTGGTTGACGGCTGTCAATATGGCTGGAGTTTTTGATGATGTTGTAACTTGCAAGACAGCAGCGGAAAACATACGGTTGCAGAAACAGATTACAGAGAAACTGTATCAGAGAGATACCGAGAGGCTAGCAGAAGTCGATAGGAAAAAATCAGAACGACTTGACCATCGTAGCGAGAAAGAAAGTGCTTCGTACTTCTCAGCTACGTTCGGTGGGTGTACCGTGTAGGGCCTACTGCCGTTGTTAATTGATTCTTTATGGGCCTATGTATAGACCAATAAATTGTGCCCTAAAAATTTTTATATTCTGATGTTATTTTAGGGCCCAATGGGCAATAGCCTTCCATAGACAAAACCTGTGAATTCTGTCGTACAAAATGCACGACAACCTTTTCACTATTTACGGCCGTGTTACATAGAAAATCAAAGAAATACCTAAAGCCGTCGCCTTATTAACATCTTACCTACATTACAAAACACTGGTTCAAGGATAGAGAACATGGGTCCCAATAATTTGATCAAAATCAATGTCATTTACATCAATATAAATATAATATTATATCAATATAATAGGTTAGGGTTATGGTTAGGGTTAGGATTGGGATTAGGGTTAGGGTTAGGCACATTGGTTTTATTGGTACCCATGTTCTCTATCCTTGGGCCAAAACACTTGTCATGCAGTATTCTCCTCTTTAATCACGTTTATTTTATTAAAACATCACGACATAAAAATCACGCAAAATTTGCTACACACAAAACTGCCAATCTTGCATTGAACCGCACCGGACAACGTCACAGCGATGATTTCATTGGCCGGTGAGAAATGTCGTTGTGCGGTTCACTTCAATGCAAGATGGCAGTTTTGTGTGTACGATGTTTGCGTATTTTTATGTCGTGATGTTTATAATAAAATCAAAATCTGATTAAAAGACGGAGAATACTGCATACAAGTGTTTGTAAATGTAGGTAAGATGTTAATAAAGCGACGGCTTTTAGGTATTTCTTTGATTTCTAATTTTTAACACGCCGTAAATAGTGACATAAGGTGTGTCGTGCACTTGCACGAATCAGGATTCACAGTTTTGGTCTATGGAATGCTATTGGGCCCATAAAATAACATCAGCAATAAAAAATTTGAGGCACAATTTTATTGTCTACTCCTAAGTGTAATAGACCCCACTAGCACAAGTTAACTTTTTCGTTTCCTCACTAACACGTGTGAGAAGGTCAAAAAGTGCTATTACGGTCTCAGCGACTGAACCGTTGTAGCTACACCTTTGTAACGAAGAACGTACCAATACCGCTAAGTTCTGTCATATAGTGTCGACATTGGCTGTATAGTGTTTTACTGTTAATTCATTCTGTATTTTGCCTATGTTGCTACGGTATTTAGTGAGACGTGGCCTCTTAACTTGTGTATTCAAAACCACCTGCGACGCTCAGGTCGAGGGTTTGCTCTGTCTGTGGCGAGTATTTTCTGTAATATCTTTTCTGCTATAGCCTTTGCTCTAAACAGTGAACAAACCGTTGGTCAGTGCCTTTTAAAATGCAGAACGATATATTGTGACTTTCTCTGGTGTTTACTGGAAGAGGTTATTTGAGTGAAAGTGTACATTTGATTAATAAATATTGAGCATTTCCTACACCCTACAATTACTACTTATCAGTAACAACATGTCCTTGTCAATGTGACTCATGTTATAGTCAGTGTTCCTATTATCGATGATGTAGTAATCTGTTTTTTTGATTTTTATGCTTACAGCTAACGAAAGGCTATCATAGAAAAAAAAGCTTGAAGACACCACTGACCTGTTCCAAAATTCTCAACTAATTGAGTCACTCATCTTGTTGAATCTCTTCTTCTAATCATGGCAGAAACCGCAAAGATTTGTTGTCACACCTCCTACTCTTTTTTTGTCTTCAATATGAGGTGAGGTCAAGCAGGAAATAAACTACAAAAATGAAGATTAACTGAAACTGAGTTGGCTGCCATAGCCAAAGGACAAAGTTTGCTTTTAAAGGACAAAAGAAATTGATAACCGAAGTGAAGAATATCACAAACCAGCGCAAGTTAAAGTTGAGGTAAGTTGAAGAAAACTGTCAAATTCAGGAATACTGCCATTCAAGCAATGGATGGTGGCTTCAGCGATCAGAGAAGTTGGAAACACCTGCATGTGGATAATCGTAAATCTTTGAGGAAGATGTCTCGCTTAGCACTCAAAGACGCATTATGAAACTACGATGGTTACCCAACATGACTTCACGATTTGAGACAAGGGTTGCAAGCCTGCAAGGTAATTTCACATACCTGTGTTTACGTCAGTATTCATTGTAGCTGGACAAGGATTGCACGTTTGTTATAGCCTGGCTCAAGTCATGTGAGAATGCACACGACGTCAGATTGTGAGATTTATCTACATGTCACGTAGTCGTGCAATAGTGAGAGACAGTAATGGGGTGTTGGCGATATAGGCTCCGACAATTATAAGATATGATTGGTCCGATGAGATTAACAAGAAATCGCCAGAATTGAAACCGGAGAGAACAAATTAATTGGGATGATCTTGATTGATCTTCAATTGGTTTGTCTTAGTGACAAAAATCAACTCACCCTAACTTGGAGTGTACTTTCTGACGAAACAGAGGTGAAAAACGTGGGAGGTGTGATGTGCTAGACAAATACGTTTGGAACTATTCTATTGAAATCTCTGTGGATTTGTTTTATGGTATATAGGCAAAAATTTAAATGAGTTAATTAACATGTATTGAAGGGCTTAAAAATGTATTAACTGATAGTTTACTATTGACAATTGGTAAGGATGTGCAACTAGTGTTTATGTTGAATTTATCATTATATTGGCTATGCATTGTTTGACGAACATTAAAATGTAGCAATCTTTAACATTATAGCATGATATGGGTGCGTATGGGTGTGTCTAGTGA